CGGAATACGGAGCGAAAAAGGAAAGATGGCGAAGGGCCGTCTCAGAGACAAAGAGAAGACAGAGAATTTTTGTCGGCAAAGTCTCGAAGGCATGACAGCCGTGACAGAAAAGGTCTGTCCCATGATAATGCTCCACCAACAAATCAGGTCATCACAGATAGGACATCAGAAAACGTAGACGGAGGGTCTATGTTTGACGAAGAACACTTTTGTGTTCAAGAGTCACTAGGATATTTAACGGAGTTAGAAGGGATTCTTAGCACAGCAGACATACTTAAGAAAGTAGTTAAAAAGATTAAAGATCATTTTGTAAAAGTTCTAAGCATAGTCACAAAAAAGAATATGCAGATAGCCCATCTTGAGGGACAGTTAGAACAGACAAAAAATACTGAGGACTACATCATAGGAGTCACAAGTATAGCAAAGCCAAGGTATGCCAACATGGCACAAAGAGGCAGGTCACGATCCAGATCACAAAAAAGGACTCAAAATGCTGCAGAGCGCGTCACAATCATCTACCCAAAGGGAGATATGACGTCTGACGAGGTAAGAGACAAAGTGGTTAAAAACATACACCCAGCACAGTTAAAAGTCGGGGTTAAAGCAGTTAGAAGAGTAAGAAAAGGAGGGATTCTAATACAAGTAGATAAAAAAAGAAGAACTAGACATACTAGAAGAGGCAATAAAGGACAATCTTAAACTCAAAGAAATTGTCGAAACAAAACGCCCAACAAAGATTAACCCCAAAAATAATAATCTACAATGTAAACAAAGAAGTTAGATAAAGAAGCAGTTAAGGATAAAATCCTAACACAGAACTCTCAAATAGAAAACGCGGAAATTTAAGTTTTGTTCTCGATGAAAGGACGATTCGGAAACAACTGGGTAGTCTCAATAGACCCGACAAACTTCAAAATAATCATGAAATCCAGAAAAATAAACATTCAATGGACTCGTAACAACATCAGGGAATTTTTACAAGTCCCTCAATGCTCCGCAAAAAACTGCACGGCAAACCCAAGATGCGGTTCAAAAGATCACCTCAAAAAAGATTGCGAAAAACAAAACCCTAAATGTGTAAACTGTCATGAGACAAATAAAAAGTTCGAGACAAGTCTAGATACTAAACATGACTCCAGAAGCAAACAATGCGCATGCTATATAAAGGAATTCCAAAGACAAAAACAAAGAATATATTATGAATAATATAAGCATAATACAGATAAACCTCCAGCACTCTAGGGGTGCGACAGCCTAAAGAGATTTCCTAGAAGCAAATAATGACTAAAAATAGCATGCATCCAAGAACCATACGTTAAAAATAACAAAGTTAGAGGATTCCCGATCCAGTATTGAAAATTCCATACAAAAACGAGTGCAAAAACAGCAATAATAATTGCAGACACTCAGTTACCAGTCTTAGAACTACTTAGCGCAGAAACAATCTGCGCCATCAGAATAGAAGGTAACACACCATTCCTAATACTATCCGCTTATTGCCCACCATCACCAGATCTCGACTCGATACTAAGCACAATAGAGGATCTAATATCAGATCATCAGAACATCCCAATCATTGTTAGTGGTGACTTCAACGCGAAGCACACCATTTGGGGACACAACCAACCCAATCCACGAGGATTACAAATCTGTGATTTCTTAGCCTCCACAGATATGAGTGTTATAAACAATCCGGACAGCCCTCCAACATTTTCCGGCGCCAGAGGTAACTCCTGGATAGACTTGACCCTCCTTAGGAAACATGGACACCTAGATATAGTAAACTGGAAAATTCTAGAAGAGGCAAACTTAAGCGATCATAACTTCATTATTTACGAAATCTCAAATACAGAAGAAAATCGAAGACCAAATCCTAAAATGAAACTAAAACATATTGACTGGCTTAAATTCAGACAAATAATGAAAGAAAAATACCACGCCAATAGCTTAAATAGCATAAGAAGCATAGATGATCAAATTGAGGGTACAACCGTCCTCATCCAAGACACTTAAAAATTACAAAGAAAACGCCGGCAATCTCCTTCCCTCACCACAAAAGCAAACCCTGGTGGACACAGGAACTCACTATAATTCGAAAAAAGGTACTAGCCCTCAGGAGACGCTACCACCGTTCACCGGACATAATAAGAAAGGAATTCAGACAAAAATATAAGCTAGAACAAGCTAAATATAAAAAGAAACTATTCGAGGCAAAAAGAGCCACTTGGAATGATTTCTGGGAAAGTTTGCAGATCTCATCCCCCTTTGGCACTTACTATGATATCGCAAAAGGCAAAAGTCTAGGCCCACTACAACTTAGCACAATTCAAAAGCGGACGGCTCCCAAACTAAAACAATTGAAGAATCCATATGAGAGATCCTAAATTTTCACTTTCCCGAGGATCCCAGGGAAAGCAATACGGTGGAACACAGTAGCATAAGACAAATGGCCGACAGCCCATGTGATACAGCCAATGACTTAGACTCCACAGACATAGAAATACGCAAAGTAATAGAGACAACAAAAAGAGGAAAGGCCCCGGGATCAGACAGACTGAACATAGACTTCATAGAACTACGTTTAGCAAACGAGGGACACCTCACACAAATATTTAACGCTTGCCTCTATTGGATATTTCCCACGGGCGTGGAAGAACGCCGAACTGGTCCTGTTCAAGAAAGAGGGGGAAAACCCAACAGAACCCAGTGCCTATCGGCCGATATGGCCTTTCGGCATGGAGAAAGGTCCTCGATAAATTACTAACGCAAAGATTAGTTCACCACCTCGATTCAAAACATCTCCTACATAATGCCCAATTTGGGTTTACGAAAGGCAAGAGCACGGTGGACGCTCTAGATAACCTCCAGAAACAAATCCTAAAAAACAAAGATAATGGACTACACACCTGTGTGATAGCCCTTGACGTCGCCTCGACTTTTAACCGATTATGGTGGCTGGGCCTAAAAGACTCAAGTGTCCAAAGAATTTATTCAGGCTTATAAGCAGCTACCTACATGACAGGGTCATCACCTACCAGCGTGACGGAGTTCACATACGACACACGTATCACAAAGGAGCCCCACAAGGATCCAACATAGGCCGGACCCTATGGAATATCATGGCAAACACAGCATTAGAAATAGATTTCGAAGACACTGCGCAGTTTCAAGCTTACGCAGATGACTTCATCCTCATCATTAATGGGGGAAATAGACTTATAATAGAAAGAAAGGCTGAAAAAGCACTGACAAAAATATCAGCATGGAGCGCTAAATATAAACTCAACTCTAGCGTGGAAAAAACTAAACTGATCATCTTCCCAAAAGGGAATAAAATATTAAATAGTTAAGACTTTAAAACTTTCACTGATATATTTTAAAATCAGTAATTTGTACTTAGGTTAAGCAAAAACACATTTTATAAAACAAAGAAACAAAACACAAATTAAATATTTTCCTTAAATGGATACTTAGCTCCTCCGAGATCTTATAATTATGTCGCAAGTAAAAACAACAAATTCTAAGTTTTCTCTCAAACCTGTCAATCGTAAAAGTAGAGCCATTAGATTCTCTTGAAGCACAAAAACTTTGAAGAACCAATTATTCTTCAAACTTCCGTGCTTCTTAGCTGTGTTCTAATGCTAGGTGCACAAAATTGATCTGCTGATCATTATACTAAAAGTGAATGTGGAAGGATGTCAATAATTCCTACATCCCCCATCTAAAAACCAGGAAACGATATTCATTTGGCTAAACTTAGTTCGTTATGAATCTTTATTCATAACATTTTACAGTCAAAAGTCGTTAATCCGGGCTCGTCGGGACTTCGGCGATTCCGGATTATCGATTTTTCCAGATTATAGACCATCAGTTTAAATCTCGTAAGATGGCATGCAGAAATTCTAAAATTAAAAATATGAAACCGTAATTTATGAAATAAAGAACAATTATGATCTAAAGGGTATCAAAATTTACAAAAAAAAAAAAAAAAAAAAAAAAAAAAAGCTTAATATTTATTTGTTTACTTTATTAAACATCTCTTTTAACGTAAGTTGTTTAAGTTGCTTCGTTTTATGTGGTAATACTTTCTCTTTAATTCTATAAACAGACATAATTTCTTGTTCAGTTACAAAGTTTCGCTGTTCAAGTCCCGTTAATTGCTGTGCCGAGAATACCGACTAACTTGTCAATCGAAATTTTTTCGTTTTCACTAACCTCTCTGTCACATTCTTCATGTCTTTATCCATTTTTTGCAGCAATTCCACTTTTTTTTGTTGGACATCGAAACATACTTTCGTTTTGTAGATCCTTTGGAAGTTTCCAGCATCGGAAATTCTATTTGACATAATCGAAAGTTCAAGTTTACTTTTATAAAATTGCTCTAACAGTCTGCAAAAAATAATAAGCTGGATCCAATTCGAAGATTAAGGAACAACGCAATCTAACAATATTAACTGAAATTAGATAATTTTGGCCTAGCTTATACCATCCGTTATTACATTAAACGCGCATGCGTAAAACGGTATTATGCGTATGCGTGAATGCCATTATGCGTTGACGCATGGGCAGAAAGTTTTTTAGCTTTGAGGTCCGGATTATAGATCATTCTGGATTATGGGTGTCCGAATTAACGACTTTTGACTGTATTTCATTTAAGTTTATTTGGAGTGAGAAGTTCTGAAAAATCAATCATGTTTTTGCTCGGAATTTAACTTAAGTTTTCCGATATTAGTTGGAAGTTTTGACCACAGGAAGATCCTTTGGGAAGAATACTTTTAAATCCTAACAATTTTTTTCAAAGTTACAATAAACTACAAGCTACTTCCGATGCTAAAACAAATTTTTTTCTCTCGTTTAATGTAAATACATGGAAAAGGTAAATTTCCATTATCGGGGGGGGGGGATCATTTTCTCAAAGTGGAAAAGTAAATTTTCATGATACACAACTTTTACTGAATGTGCAAGTGCTGTGCATGCAATTACAACATTACAATAAAAAAAACTTTTGCATATGTGTTTAATATCACAGTCTTTTTTTTACATTAATTATAATACCATATTACATTATATTGAGTTACTCAAGCTTTTAAAACAACAACATAACACAATAATTTATAAAACTTACTACAAAACACATTGAAAAATTCTAAAATAATAAATTTCAAAGCTAACATTACATAGTACCTGAAATTATATAATCTCACAAATCTACACAACATTTCAATGATTGATTAACCATTCAGTCATAAATGGTTTAAGAGAACCATTTAGTTGTAAAATGATACCTATTTAAAACAGGAACTTTAACTGGCTTGGTATAATGAAGGTTGTTAGGAATAAATAACTTTCAATTATTTAAGATATACATGCATAAGCACACTGGAAATTTTTATATATATAATTACATACAAGGAAAATATTTAGAGTGGAAAAAATGAAATACGGCAGCAAAAACATAACAACTTCACTTAAAATTCACACTGTAATTGAATTTTGTTTCAATATATCACTTACAAATGACTTCTATTCAGTCAATTATTGTAAAGATTTAGTATTATTTTCAACATGAAATTATTAAAAGGTTACTATTGGTTATCATGAAAGGTTTTATTGCATTTTAAGAATGTCTCACAAGGTTAACTTTTGAAGGTTGTACATTTATTTTGATACTAAACAGAAAATGTTTATTAGATGTGTAAGCAATTTATTTATTAAGAAAAAAAGATCAGTTAAATGGAACTTATCTTCCTGATTGCACTATAAATCCAGATTTTAAGCCTTTAAAAATAAGTTTCATTTTAATACTTTAGCTCCCCTTTTTTCTGTTTACAATGTTCGTATGAAAAATCAACTTTTTCACCAATAGATTTTTATATCACTCATAGTTTTTTTTTATTATACTCATATTATGTTACAAGTTACATGATAGAAACTACTACTTTTTAAAGTATTTTAATTTGAATTAAAAAAATATATATATATCTGTTCTGTACTTTTTTTTTTCAGGTCCTGAAAACAATTTGATAGTAATGTCAAGAAAGGTGAACTTTTTGAAACATTAATAGTAAGTTAACATGCACCTATTACATCAATTGTCAGACACAATAATTATTTCCAACAAAATACTAATCAAACCTTACTTAAATAAAACAATACTTATACGTATTAACCACATGATCACCAGCTGGGGATGTTTTATTAACCTAATCGAATTTTTTTAAGCTAAAAAGTTTATTTTAATCTGAAAAGACAAAAATTCATGAATTCAAATTACTTGAATTTGTAAAATTCACATTTAAAGCAAAACTCTAATTTTGATTATTCAAGAACTCTTGCACAATAAACGCAAGAGTAAATTAATTTTTCTTCTAAATGTTCTGCATCATTTCAATAAATACGTAAATTCAGATATATAATATATTATGTATGCTAAACAAACTGTCCTGCTCTCATACAATTTTAATACAGCCTTCAAAGCTCACATCACTACAGCATATACAGTTAAGTGAATCTGATATATTTTTCCATGATGTTTCACTCAATATTATATTAAAATAAACATTTTCCCAAATTTCAGCATTTATGTTCCAAAAGCCATCTAAAACAATATTATAGTTGCCAACCTTGAAATCTTAAAAACTGGGAGACTTCTGTGAGAAATTCGGAAGGTTTCACGTTGCACAGCAGTGATGCGATATTAGCACACAAGTGACGTTTGTGCACATTATCTGTGCGGGAAGATGAAATTTTTTAACAGATGTTACCAGTTACGGATAACAAGTGATATTTCTGCACAGCCTATGCTTTTTCTTAAATAGTGTTCATTCCTGCTGTGATGGTCGATTTCTGATAACTATAATTTTCTTGCTTGCAGTTGTATGCAGAACATATCACAATATTACATGGATGACAAAAAAGGGTATTTTTTTTAATATTTTAATATTTTGGGATATAAAATAAAAGCAAATAATGCACATAGTGTTTGCATGGATAAACTTAGTCATGTATCAAATATTGATTACAATGAAATTAAATACAAATATTAACTGATTAAAGATTGCTTAAATCTTCATATAAAAGTCTAAAAATGCCTACAGTAGAGTAAGATAACTCAGATCAAATGTAATTTAGTACGAAAAATTATTCTGAAAATCACTAGAAGTAGGGGAATGGAATTTGCCTGATTTAAATTTCATTAAATCAGCTTAATTTAAGTTTCATTAATTCAATAAATTTCATTTACTCCTGGGAAGGATTTTCCTTAATCAGGGATAAAAACCGGGAAATGTGATGAAAAACTGGAAAATTGGCAGCTATGCAATATGCATACTTATGGATATATTCTAAAAATAAAGCTGCAATGTAAATAAATCATTCAGAATTGATATTTAATATATTAAGAAAATTGGCATGTGACACATATAGAAGAATAAAGTTCATTCAAGGTTGACTTTAAAAGTTTTTTTTTTTTTTTTTTAAAGCTTCAGTCTGATTTCAGATACTTCAGCCAGCAATTTAAAACACAAAAAATAAATACTTTTCACAGCTAATTTCTAAAAGATAGCTTCAGCTTCAGTACAAAAAATACTGATTACATCTTGCAAGATAAACAAAAACATTAATCTATAGAAATAGTTGAGCATATTATGACAGCTGTTACAAATATAACTTTATAGATCAGAAGCTAGTGTGACCTCCCTAGGCATCTTGTTTGAGAAAATATTCATTATTCAGTTAACACTGGCACCAAAAAAAATTACATATTCATGCATATGAAAAAAAATTCAATCATTCGTGTAATAAGAGAATTTTCAGTCCATCACTTCCAAACACATATACACAATTTTCTTTCTTCAGTATGATAGTAAGCATATAATCATAAGTGTTATGAATTCCAATGGAAGCAGTCTGTTATAAACTTAAGTCATTTTAAGTTTAGCATAATGTTCAATAAAAATATTTTTTATAACCAAATCTCAGCAAAAGCAATTTTCCTTCCAATAACAGAAAACTGAGGCAATTCTTGGAAGAGCAAACAGCCAGCACTAGTTTTGTTATCACTGGGTACAATGCTTGCTGCTCTTCAAGTTCAGCTGCATTGGTTGCACTGTCTGATAACAACTACTTATTAGATCTAAAATTGTAATTGGAAATTGTTTTGATATAAATTAAAAGTAACGCCTCTCTTGATAGCTGATAAATTGGCAATAAAACTTTTCATTTCACATATCATTTTATTTAACCTTCACTTCTTATTTTATGTCTTTATTTCACCTTCTCACTTTTTAAACATAATTTTTCCCTCCTCAAATAGGAAACAAATATTTACATAAATTTAAAATAATTACTTTAAAACATAAAGTCCATTACCTCATTTAACACAAACCCCAAATTTATGACATTAGAAATTTCATAAAACTAAGCATCCATTATTGCGCTGTTTTATTACAATGCCACAGCAAATGCTAAAACTATCCTTATCTACAAATGTAATTTTTTTTTAAATTTCCCATTTTTAAAATGCATTATTTTTGCTATTATTTAAAGCTATAAGAAACACTGTGAATGAACTGCATTCTTTTTAGATCATGTTTAAATGAAGTCCTGACATTTTGTACTAAATCTCTCATGCCATAACTAATTAAAATATTAAAACTAATTAAACAAAATACAACTTCAAAACAATTCCCTTGCTAAAATGCACAGAAAAAAAAAAAGATATAGCAATCTGCAAAGAATGAAAACATTTAACCTAAGCTTTCAACTTCATATTTTTGCAATAATTTTAACTTGTAAATTTAGTAATATCAGGAACTCTATACAGTTTTGTAAATTATATAAAACAAAATATTAGACAATGACAAAATATTAGAATACTAAGAAAATAAAAATCTTTATATAAATAAAATTTTTAAAACTGCACATAATATGAAGTTAATTAAATGAGATATACATTTTAGATAAATGAATCAAACAAAAATGTTTCATTAAAAATTACAAAGTAATAAATTAAGATCTATTTAATCTTGACAAATATGTACAAGTTATTACAAATAGCAATGTGCTCTAACTATTTTACAATACAAAGAGGCACAATATCTGGCTGAAAGCATAAAACTGGTCCCTTAGGTAATGATTTATACAAAAAATAATAGAATCAATACACACGAACATTCAGCAATTAATTTATGCAGCAGTTCACAAAAAGCACAATTCAGCTTTAGCAATAAAACATTTAATAAATTCTCAGTATTAGAACTAATGCCTGAATTATTGTTAAATTCAAGTTTTAGTTATGAAATACCTTTCACTGTTCCTTCTTTTAACATTTCTGAACATTTCATCTACAAACGAACAAAAAGTAATTCAGCCAGTCAATTTCCTTCAAGAATGTACACAATATTATAAATCAAATAGGAAAAATAGATTACTTAAATCATACAGCAATAGCATTAAATAAAATTTGTCTCACAGAGCTTATCTTAAGATTATGAACTGAATGTGACATTTGCCTACACAAATAAATATAAAAATAATAATAACTATGTTTTCTTATAACACCAAAATTTATTTTAAAAAAACTACTTTGCTCAAATAAGACTAACATAACAAGTAATTTCAGACTCCCCGAGAAAAACATGCTTTATTACAAAAGTAAATCAAACTAAGAAATAATTTTTAAGAAACTATAAAACTTCAATACTGCTTTGACATATTAAATATAGTTTATTGAAAAAATAAAAACGACAGAGAAAAGAAATCTTCAGAATTTTTTTGCAAAAGAGCAAAGAAGAGGAACTTCCATCATATATCTCAAAATAATATGGTTTTTCTTATATTATAAAACAATAACAAAAGGTTTAATTTTGCCTAGTTTTAAATTCCAAACTAGAACACTTTTCTTCATCTAAATTACCCAATGCAACATTTGATACAAGCAAGTTTAAAATAATAATGTTTACACAAATACTTCAAAAACAGTATAGTTGATGATTACATAATATGTTGTCCATTTTCTTTCTTTCTTTCTTTTTCTTTTACAGAATACCAGGGGGGATTAGAATAAGAGCACTGATAATCTGATATAGATATATAACCAGAAATTCAGCAAAACATAAACGTATTAAAATATATACATTTTTTTTATGACAGAGACAAAGGATGTAAAAAAAGAAAGCTTACATTCGTTTTATATACATAGGACACTTTAAATAATTTAAGCAATTTTAATGTGAACTAAAATTACTATTTCTTAAGAGACCATAGCGGATCCAACTGGCTCAATGGATCAGCACTATCACTGCTTGAAGTAGATAAACTTCCTTTGGAAGTGGCAAAATTTTCTTTTGTAATTTTTCGTTTAGCAGGTGAGCTTGTAGATTCTAATGTAAAATTTGATGGATCTAATATACTTGTTATAGATGGAAGGTTCTTATCAATTGAGTCTTTTTTGTCTGCTGGTGGGCTTTCAGCATCAGTTGAAATTACTGTTGGTTCACTACTGAGCTCTGTATCTGTGGTAGATGTTTCGGCTGAATTTTCTGCAGTAACATCACCATTGTTGACAGGAAGAGAACTCTTATTCACAGAAGGTTCAGACTTGGAAACGTTTTTCTCTATATCAACATTTTCTGATGATAATCCCATTCTTGCTATGCCAGATTGTAATTTTGCTAGACCTCCACTGCCTAAAATAAAATCTTCTGATGGATGACGGACATGCGAGTTGGTAGAGCCAGATCCAGGTAACTTGTCATCGAATGAAGCTCGAGTAGTCAAAATTCCTCCTATATTTAATTCAGTAAAAGAAAAGCTGGTTTAGAAAACAAATGCAGATGAAAATAATAAAAATTATTTACTAGTTATAAATTACTTACAAAATTTAAACTTACTGACCTATAGCACATATAAAGCTTTATATATACATACATTTTAATTTTTAAACATTTCATGTAGTCTCATCTTTTTATATTAACTATCAACTCTTGAATGAGATTATACAACCAATAAAATGTTACTCTGACTAGATAGATAAAGAGAAAATTTAAAGACCCAGTAACAACAGAGAAAGTTTAAAGTGAACAGTATTACACATATATAAAATAATTTTTAGGTAATTTCTATGTTTACTGTCTCCCAGCCAGCCCAGCATGTGTTAGCATTTTTCATTGCGAAAGGTTTAAATACAGGTAGGTTCCCTACAAGTTTGAATCCTAGTGAATGGTTTGATTGAATGTTATTTTGTATAAAATGAATACAAGCCACTTCTCTAAGAAAGTCGTTAATGAAGGTATCTCTTCCCTCAAGCAAACAGCCTTCACAAGTTTTGCCATATATAATTAAAATAACCAATATCAGCTGTAACGTTTCCTAAAATTTGTTTTTGTAGAATAAGCTTGTTTGAGCAATTTTTTTAAGAACATTTTTTTGAAGATCTAAAACATTACTCTAAGCATTGAGTTGAATATCGGTACTTCAGTCAGAAGGAAAAGTAAATGAATCCTTTGGCAACATGAGCAATAATCAGCTTTCACCTTGTATTTGAGTTAAGCAATTTATGAAAGATAAAGTATACATACGTAAGTAAAATTCCCAGAACTTGCAAAATACTTTAGAAATGTTATGATTAGCTGTAGGTTTTTTTAGCTGCACAACTTTTTGCTGAATATGACAGGCTTTGGCATGCAAGTTTTAGGAAGAATGATAATAATTTAATTTTAAAATATTCCTCAGAACTGTAAAAACAAAATCCTCGCACATAAGATGAGAAATTAGGTCCAGCACTTGTAATGATTTTGAAAATAGAACTTAAAATTCAGATGCTATATATGGATTGAATTATCCGACTATGGTAAAATACATAAAAAATATCTATACATAAGGAAGGCCTTTGTAAAAAACTTTCAAAGCAAATAACATTACAGCTAAAAAGTATACGATATAATGTAAAAATATATCAAGATTGTTTCTTCTTTTTTTTTTTTACACTTTGAAGCTTGTTTTATTTCTGTTGCATATATTTTGGCCTATGCTTAAATTGTTAGACAACACATTAACTGTTATTGATCTTAAATCTAATTAAGAACATGACAAAACAATTGCTCAAGCTCCTTTTCTTAAAACTTCCATGAACTTAACCTTTCTGGAGACTTATCGCCTTTTATATTTAATTTATATCAAATGCTGAAACAATGGTGGAAGTACCAAGATTTCTTATACAAAGAAAGAATAATTTTTATGTTCTCGTGCGCCCCAAAAAAAAAAAACAAAAACCCACAACACCAAAAAGCTCAAACTGATATATAACTTTCACATTCAGAACTTCGTTTAAGGAAGAAAGAAAATGTTAATTTGAACCATTTGGGCTGAAGAAAATTACCATAAAAGGTGCTGGCACAAGAAATGTATTTTGTAAATGTAAATGGTGCTGGGACAGATTATTAAGCTATAAGCACTATATTTTACTACAGGAAATGGTCATATAGGTTTGCAGGTAGCTAGATGCTCGGCTAGATTGCTTGAATTTAATTTTGAAATAATATACAGACCTGGAGATCAGAATGTTGTAGGTGGCTGCTTATCCAAATTACCTGTTACAGAAGCAAAAAAGAAAGCAGAAAGAATTATTTGTTGCTGTTTTGATTAAAAAAAAAAAAAAAAGAGTATTCTAATGGGAACTTAAAAAGCATGACAACAATGAAATACCAACAACAGTTTAAATGGAAAAAAAAAACTTAAAGGTGCCACACCAGAAAGGAATCCTTTTTCCTGAGTTCAAGCTGAATACGCTATGATGATGATGATGATGATGATGATGATCACATGTTAACTCTAATCAAGCTATTATTGCTGAAACATTTTCTGTAGAGTAATTAATACTCAATGCAGTGGATCCTAAAGAACTGTTTATACTACAGTAGAAGTCCATTAGTCCGGCATCCAACAGTCCGGAATGCCCGATAGCACGGTATCGCTCCGGAAAATTGTAAAATGTTGGTTTTCTCCAACGTGTGTCTTCAAGCAATAAACCGCACGAGAGCTTTGGAAGTTTGGGGGTAGTTCGGATCATCCGGAAGCGCGCGTAGTGGTTCGGAAACAATTAGCGGTCCTAGTCTCAGCTGTCACAACAATCAGTGCAGGCAGCTCCGTAATCATCACGAATGTCTCGCCATTTTTTTGGTGTGGTGTTTGTGTCCTCACATCGCAGTAAACGTTCTTTTGAACTGTTTAACCCCGATTTCGTTTCCTGTCGGACCATGTTCCCCTAGCTTCGGAGTTCAAGGAGAACGAAAACAGTAACACTGCTCTCATCAGAAACTAGAAATCATCACCAGCTAGACCCGGCGGACTGCCATGTTTTATGAATGATTTAATCTTGTCATCAATATTATGACTTAAAAACCCCCGATGACTATGAAGTTGCTTCTCAATCGTAACACGAAAATTGGTTTCTAGACAAACATAAAAAAACCAAAACTGGAACAGCTAGCTAGTGTATGTTCAATGGTTCGTGCAGTACGTTCTGAAGGAAGCCGGTACAGGCACGGTGTGAAAGGCAAGAAATTCGGCCAAGATTAGGAGTTGCTGAAGTGAATGTAATTTTCTATGGTTGGCTCGAACTTTAAGTTTCGGCATGAATCGAAGACTTATGTAACGGAGAAAACCCTTCAGCAAACCAAAATGCAGAAAAATCAAAGACGGTTGAGAAATGTGGTGATAAGATTACCCTGAACGATTACATGTGATGAAAGGGCTATGTGGGATGTTTACCACATCACACTAGTGGGGGAGGAGAAAAAGCAGCCAGGGTTTTAAAAAAAACAAAGACAGATCCGTTGCTATGTGCTAAGCGTCTGGAAACCACAGGTGACCCCTTTTGTGATAGGTAAATCTGCAATACCCAGGGCTTTTAAGAATGTTACACACTTGCCTGCCAATACGCTGCTCAAAAAGCGTGGAGAACTGCCGCCCTTTAAAAGAGGTTTTTCACCACTTTGTGTGAGGTCAAGGAACCTTCAAAAGCTTCTTGGTTTACCAGAAGAATAAGCCATCTTCTTTTGGACAATTGCAAGCCCATCCGCCGTAGATGAGTTAGTTTTGGAAATGTTGCTACTCTGCTCCCACCTAAGTAACATCTTTGATTCAACCCATGGACAAGGGTTATTCAAATTTAAAGCTTTATGAAGTCTTTATTCAGGCCGTTAATGCGACTGACGTGACTGATTTCAAAAAGTTACAGTAAAAGATGCTGTCTATGCTATTGACAGTCTTGGAACCAGGTAAAAAATACAACACTCAAAAATGAGGAAGAAATTTGGCAGCGCAAACCTGATCTGACCTAACTTCCGACTGATGAGGAAGAAAGAAAACCATCAAGCGCTCTGACAAAGTTTGATGTCGTTAGAAGTACTGAATCCCTTGAAAACCTGCTGAGATGAGGTAGGGAGTGGTTTTAATCGCGAGAATGAGCCTGGTGAACAGACTAACCGATGGGACATTATCACATTGCAGTAACTAGCCTACTCAAAATCTTGAAGAAAAGACTCAGATGCCGAAAGGAAGAAAGAGAAAAATCGTGGGCAGAAGCTGCGAATCCTAAAAGTTATCTTTTGCGAGGCTAGTATTAGCTACAGTGCTCAGAATATGCTTCCATATCATTAGAAATAAATATACTAAACGCAAAAGCAAGAAAACAAAAGAATTCGTGACTTTTTTAAATCTAAGTGAAATATGTTTAAGTACGTGACATACTTATATGAAATGTAAATAAACTTTGTTGTTGTATTGCAACTGATTTTAGTTCATATTAACCATGTTTTTAATTACCGCCCGAAGACGGAATTTTGGTAGTCCGGCACCGAGCGGTTCGAACGTGCCGGCTTATCGGACTTCTACTGATTTAAGCCGATTCAAGACTGACTAATGGTACATCGAAATGAAACTGCTACTGCGTACCATGACAATCGTTCTCTCTATATATATTAAAAAAAACAAAAAAAAAAAAAAAAAAAAAAAAAAAAATTATAGCCCTTTGCAACTGAATAAATAGTGAGGACAAGTGAGTAAATATAAAAAAATCATTCCCACTTCTTTTTAAAAAAAAAGCCCCTAAAGCAACTAATACTAATTACTTTAATTTTTTATTACAATAAATACCCAATAGCTTAGTTTCTACCTTATGCTACACTGCAAAATGTATACATTTTCTAGTCAATGTTTTCAGTAGGAAGAATAAATGAATTTGCACCACACAAAATAGCCCAAAATTAATTTCTGAAGAATTTAAGAACTTTTAAAAGAAAAAATACTACAGAATAATGCTACTTTATTACTGTAATATTCTTGAGCAAATGGTGAAGTGCATTTGTTTAACCAAGTTTTGAAAAGAATTATTTTAACAACAGAAATCCAAAAAAACATCAGAGACCACTCTGTGTAATAATATTTAATACATTTAACAGTTTCACCCAACAGCAACAAAGAATTGTCTTGATTAAGAAATATCATATTTACAATAATCAGTGAATATAAGCAAATGAAGCCAAATTTTACACTTATAAACTACAGATAAAATTACTATTATCAATCTAAGGATTATAATAAAATTTTTAGAAACCAGGAAGAATTCAGAAAATAACTACATAGACAACAAAAAGAATAAAGGAGGTGGGAAGGCCATCACATTTTCTTGTTGATGATAGAACAGAGTGGAATAATTCTCAACTAGGTCAGAACCAAGAATGATAGTTAATTTTACAAAGTAGTCTTCAACTAAACAGAATATACACTTGACAAATTGAGTAAAAAACATGTATACACATAATTAACGTGTAAATAACAGACAACATCATTTATAACTAATTATAATATTCCATGAAAATTTTTTTCATTATTAATACTCAGTTTTCTCTTTCGGGGAGAAAAGGAAAATATTCCGACAGAAATAAATAAAAGCTGATGACATGTTGCTATGCTCTTTGGATTTTGCATTTATATATGTGTGTGTGTCTTGTGAAACAAAAATAAGCACCAGTTACTTTCAATTACTATAAAATAGAGCAAATTACTAACAAATATTATAGTAATGTGACGTACTGATGTAATTGCTTTAAAACCTTAATTAGAGTAAGTGCATTATAATTTAAAGTGACATTTGCAGTCTAAAAAGGCTTTTGTAAAATGCAATCCACACTTTCAACTACAGAAAACATAAATTCTGCTTATTAAAATAAAATACATGGCCTCACAAATATTAATATATTAACAAATTAAAAATTTTATGACATAAAAGAGGCAGATACATTCTTACTTCTCATAAGAAGATCCTGTGCATAGTAAAGTACAGCATCATAGCAAAACTTTAACTGTTCCTTTTCTTGAATAAGGAATTTTCTCTGCTGACTTACAGTGCCTGCAATTTGAGCAACATCTCGAGGGCCATGACCACTATTCATTTCAGTAACCAAAGCAGTAATCAGGCAAAAGCAACCACTTCGACCAATACCAGCACTAAAGAATAAATATAATACAGCATACAGAACACACAAATTTTAAAAAGCACTTCACCCAATTAAAAGAAGGCAAGATATACTGATTGATTTAAAGGTCACTTGACAAAAAGAATGAGAATATTAGTTACAGAAACTACTGTTTACTTTTTTAAAACATTTTTTGCTTTCTGTAAAAATTATATTCTAGAATTTAATTACATATGAAATGAAAAACCTTTTAAGTATACAAACAAAGAAACTCAATGAAATTAATAAATATAAAAACTTTATTATTTGAGCAGAAATTTATACTGCACTGTTTTACTTCTGTATTATTATCCTATGTATACAGAATATTTTTAATTGCACTATATATAACTTCATGCAGCTCATTAATAATATTTACACAATTTTATTTAAGATATATATACACATCACAAAGGCTGTGGTTTCTACTGCTAACACTTGTAGCATAAGCATAAACAAATATAAAAAGGTTTGCTTCAGTCATCATCACATGAAAAATGCAAACTAATTATTTGGTACTTGCATACTAAAATTCTTATACAAATTTATGTGACATAACAAAGTTCAGTTACTCATTACTTACACCAAATGCAACCATTATGTTTTTGTATTGATGCTCCCTTACACAGATCTGGACAGAATTAGCAGAAAACATTTGCATCGCAGTCAAATGTCAAGCTTATTTTGCATTCAATGATATTTCAACTTTATGTGATGGCGATCTGTGCTATGAAGCAACAAATTTCAATTTCACTTTGTTAGCTATTAACTTGATGGATATGGTAAGTGCCATTCAGAAAAATTTAACCTACAGTATTACGCTTAAGTGGTTTCCTGATAAAAGCACAATGATTTGGATCTGTTTCTCTAGTCTAAACTTAAATGCTTAGTTTTTGTAAAAAAGTACATAAGCACAGATGCTACTTTAATATTTTATATAATTTTTGCCTAGTAACATTATGGCACTATTTTGGTGCAGGCCATTTTCATTTCAATACGTTGGTCTTGTAAATAAGGCACCAACTAGACAGGTTTGGTTTACTGAAACAGATATTGAAGAATTGGAATGGCATGTTCAAAGTACTGATTTCAATCCTACAATACATAGCACCGGAATGAAATGGAATGTCAGCTACTACATAACTCCATGTCAATGACAGCAAACTTTTGCTCTTTTGCAAGAATAGATTTTAGTTTCAAATGCAACATTAATGAAAATAGTGGATAGCCTTCCTAGCAAACTAGCAGTTGTCTCTGTAGTAAAAGGTAGATTCAGAACAAATTAATTTCTTATTTATTTGCACAAAAATCAAGATATTAAAAGATATTTATTATCATATAATGTATTTCATACTATATAAGAACTACTTTCAAACTCTTGGATTATACTGCTCCATTATTTTCTATTACATAATTAATATATATTATTATTACTGTTAATTATGTTAAGATATTACTCATTTTTTGTTACAGTAGTTAAAAAAAAAATAAATACAGGCTGAAAGAA